TTTTGTAAAAGCAAATCTGAAATGTCTCTATTCAGACCGATAATAACAGAGCGACGAACACTTTTGTAGATCAGTGTATGTAAATTTTAGAGCGCACGGAATCAGCATCCAGTTAAGCGACAGTCTCCACTTATAAACAGTGCAACGCTGAGTGGCTGCCAAAAACGCATGTTGCACGTCACTTTGCGCCTTTGTCGCGCTAACCAACTCGTAGCTTGCTGATTTGGCTTAGCCCGGCCCCATCTACCCCATTCCGGTCAGCTCGGCTGCTAACTTGATAGCAACTGCGATAAATTTGTGTGCAAGTCATTTGACAACGTGCGCGGTCGCTTATTATTAACATGGCAGACGCTTGACATGCAAAGTGGTGGCTGCAACGCCACCAGGGCGCGATCGGATTCATCCGTATGTATACGAGTATACATACATACACATAATGTAGCATACAGCCAATCACTTCACTGAGGCTCTAAACAAAACCACTGAAGTTGGCATTAAAGAGCCAAGCGTTTCGCACTCGATTTGAGCGATCGAGCGAATCCCAGTTACCAAAAATGCCACTACGTATCCACCGCCAGCAATCCCATGCGTTGGCTCAGTCAGTGAATTTATGGAAGCTATCTACGTTTTATTGTTGCCTTGACGTTTAATTTGTTCACCTTTGTTCGCATAATTGACTCGAAGCGTGCGTGTGTATATGTATATGAAAGACCTTCCATTGCAATTTATTTTACATCCCACGAAACAAACGATTTATTGAAGTAAATGTCCAATGATCAGTTAGGAATTTTTTCTTAAGACTCAACAGTATTACGATTGACTTAATGAACAAGATCATGCTCTCTATGGAAAACAGATTAAGTGATTTTCGAGATATGCTTACATATTCCAATTCCTTTATATTACCATTTAGCATTATAAAGAAAATCTATTTTAACTGTTTTCACTCCAAAATTTCGTCGACATAGACGTGCAGAAAGCGTCTACCCATTAATCGAGAACTCTGCACAGCATCCGCTTCCGTGAACCTTAGACTTTTTCTGAAAATAAATGTGTTAACGTTCGGACCTTTGTGTATCGTAATTTCCAGGTTTTCATTCCCGGGAATATAATTCGATAGCTTTCTTATTGATTTAACTCGGGAAGACCGCTGTTCGAACAATACCAAAGGAAATTTTCTGGACGATTCCACCATGCGGAATACACATACCTAACAATAGGGATGCACGCTTGTACAAGTAAATATGTATGTCATCGTGTGTACAAATATTTATGCGCGATTTCTCATTCCTGACGCAACAAAGACGTGTTAACACACATTTAAATGGTGGTTAACAATCGTCGTGCACATTTCGCAATTTTGTATGCCTTCAGTACGACAAAATATGGTAATACGAAGTGGGATATCTGCTGGATGCCTGTTCCGTAAGTGTAAAAAATGCACTGACTAACAAATTTCATGACAAATTAACAAACAAAAGGCCAGCATACTCAACGCACTTCACCACAGATCCAAGAGAACCGGCTGCACACCCTTCATGCGGCAAGCGATATCGCCTAAAAGCGCCGATATGCACCGATTCAACTGACCAGCAACAGAGCAGACATGAGTTTGCACGAGTGCATAAACGATAGACAATACGATCATGTATGTAAATCAAAGGTGTGCTTTATGCTGTGAAATAAGGTTTACGTTGATACTTTTTCAGGTTAGTTCCGATAGAAATGGTAAGATGATAATTTATATTGAACTTGAATAACTTTCTAATATTCCTACCAGAATGAAAAAAGCAATCACTTTCAGTTCAGCGGAACAAATGTGGCAACGCGGCATTGAGCGTCGGTCAAACATTTACAAAGCCGTCCTTTGCAAAATCGGCTAGTTTTGATATACGAGTATTTGAATGGAATTTAACAAATAACTGCGATCAACAGGATTTGTTGCTATTGTTATATTGTTATTCCAATTATAGAAGATTTTCTGATGGATAATTTTATTAGACCAGTCCCTGCAAGCCAACAAACGGTTAAATCACTGTCTAATTATTAAAAATCGCTATCAGAAATTTCGGTTCACGTTTTTTGTACATGAGTTGAACTGTGTGTTTGTGTTAATTTTCACGCTGATTCTTACAATGTGTGAATTTTTTTCTCCATAATCCAACAAGAAGTTTTTGCTTCAACAATTTTTTATTTAATTTCTGAACGAAACTTATCAATTCTCATTTGTAGGGTGATTTGACTGTGTGGTACTTGTGCAACTAACATACAGTGACATTTTGAATGCCATGGAAAACACACATGCATAAAGGAAAAACAAAGTATATAGCCATATACTGCATTTTTCGTATTCTGGCTGAGCTCCTTGGAGATTCAGTTGTTGCAATAACACATCTACCCGTACTAATCTGTAAACGGATTTCATCAATTTCTACAGTCAATTGATACTAAACAAAGTATTAAAATCGTCCGTCCCATTAACATTCTACTGATGTAGGTAGTCGTTATTAAATTAGAGAAGAATATTTAACCACGAGTTTGCTTTATATTGTGTTTCCAATAGAATCCCGGCTTTCCATCGAAAAAGTTAAAATAACATCGCCTAGAAATCCTCGTGTTAACATCAGGGAGATAGCAGAGGATCTTAACATCTCTTATTGATCGACCCAACACATTTTAGTTAATGTTTTAAGTATGAAGCGTGTCAACGCTAGACTCGTACCAAAAGATCTGAATCTTTTGCAAAAACGACGTCGAATAGAGGTCGAAAAAGAGATACTTGACAAAGTACCTGGGGTCTAGATTCTTCTAGTGAATCACGTTATTGAAATACGTGAATATCTATTTTTGCCAGTCAGAGTCAAATTTGGCCTAATAATCTAACTAGTTTAAGAAGCAGGTTCTTACCAAACCCAAAAGGCTGACTTTGCAAACAAATAACTCCAATTATATGGAAAGCCGGTCTTTGCTCAGAATTTAATACCGACGACTGACTGAACTTGAAAGTCAAATAGGAATCAAACGAGCTGCTCCAAGGCGCATTAATACATACATAAGTGTAGAGTTGCTTTCACATTGCAAGAGCGCGCGTAAGCAAACTACTCGTTTGAGAACAGTGCAATGTGCTAAACAATTACCAACGCCAGGAACTTCATTGATTTCGCTAATGCCACAGAGCTATGGAAAATCGTGCGTGGGTGGTCACAAATTGCCGCAACGTGACCGCAATTTTTAAATTAATTATGTAACAATTGGCCGCATAACAGCCCAATAATAATAGTAATAGCAACAATATGCAATTGCTTGTGATTTGAATGTACCCCGCTTTCGGTGGGGCTTGAGATGTACACGACTGTACTTCTAATTGTCTGAGTCATAGCGAATTCTAATAACTAATTGTGACAAAACTCCCAAATTCGCTGCATGCTCAGCCTATAACTGCGAATACGCAAAGGCGCAATGCCGTCCAAGCCCAACTCGCACCATATGCCGCTCCATAACACAACTCACCGATTAGGTGTAATAGATGCCATGACACACTCACACAGCGACATAACCGCTTACGTACGTATGTACGCATAAGCAGTGGGGAGGGAGGCGCGATGAGACCACTACTGTTTGAACTATTGTATTATAGTCGTTGCGTCAAACAGTACGAGTGGTGATGGTGAAGTACATAAGTTATCTCGATTAACACGTGATCGATCAACTGCTTCGAACTGTGGTTCTTTATAAACTTGACAATGGAAGGCAATAGGTACGTCAGCTAAATTCACAAATGATCTGGAAGAGTCATCGGCGATTTTCATTTCATTAATGTAGCAATACTGTGTGTTGCAAGTGCGAATAATATAATCAACCTCTGTGATTCTTGTGTTCAAACATTAGTCAAGCGAAAATCTCAACAATTCGGCGATTAACAGCATTTTTGCATCCTCGGTGTTCAAATATCTTTGAACATGCTTATCATTGAAAGTTATCTGATATGTATACGTATAAATACGCGTCAAGAATATAGCACCTTCATGTTTTCACGATACCTGATCGACGTTAACGATTAGGTGTTATCATTATGCAGTGTAAATCTGAACGTAGAGTCTCTAACGATACGACAGCAACCAAAAAAACGTGTTACTGCAACACCCTGGCTAATACAGCGGAAACCCAGCCAAGAAATTAAGCAAGCCACCTCCCAATCAGTCAGCCGAGAAACCTAACCAGCTAACCAATAAACCACAAAATATAATGAGCTAAAGCAGTTATGAGGTGGTCGGCTTAGAGGTGCAACACGATGACGATGATGACGTCGATTGCCTCCAGGTTATATGGTTTAGATATACATTGCAGACACTAACTACAATCATCATCAAGCGTTAACAAGCTCATTTTTCTTAAGTTGGTAATACAGCAAACCAGCAGTCCTACCATCCAGCAAACCGGACATACCTCTGGTGGTAGTACAAGAGAACTTGTGAATTTGTGATAATCAACTGCGAAGCAATCATGTTTGTTTGAGGCTGGTAATCATAAATCGATAATGGCCAATGCAACAGCTCCAAACAAACGGCAGCGCCATAGCAAAACCAACAACAACACTGAATTTATGCAACTTTGTTGAAGATACATACATAAGTGTCTATTACCCATACAATGGAGAACAACCTTCGTGCACGTATTTGCGAATAAGTGCCAAATGGCCGAACGTGGCACGATAAAAGCCAAGAGCCGATCATGATAGCTTTGGGCCGGACTCAGCTAGATTTCTGTTCTGAAAAAAATTTGGAAATATGGAATTTTGGTTCTCACTACTTAGGATAGATTCTTGTAATCTTTTAGCGCGGGCCATGATAAAATCTCTTCCATTCCATTCCATTCATTTGGTTAGGTCACAAAATATCATGACTTGTGAACATATGCAGTTTTATGGCAGTGTATCCCGTACTTTTACGCAAGTTGCTACATTTAATTCAAAATACTTACTGACCAGAGTCATTTAGTACCTGAGATCTGATGCTGCTGCGATGCGCTGAGATCTGATGTTTCATTGGCTGATTGTTGATACTGTTGCTGCAACGCCTGTTACCTTCGCATTGCACTCGAAGCACACGGCCTGACATACGATGCGATGTTTTGTTTATTTTTAAGCTATAATTTAGCCCATAATTGCACGCCAGCGGGCAGAATTTGTAACTAAACTGCAAATTAGCAGCCAATTCCACCGCCGATTAATAACCATAATTATTGACTCAAATGCTGACGAAGATGCAGACGCAACCGGCGGTGCGAGTGAATATGTAGGCATAATAAAAGTTGTTTTCGTGCGGACATGCGGCGGAGAGGCGGGCATGCGATAGTTGTGTTGGCGTTGATGATGATGCTTACCCAACGCCTGGAATAGTCGTTGGCAGAATCGTGAGACACCACGACGTTATCCATTGTTTCTCTATTGCAAATTTGGTTTATTCTTGGTGGATCCGGCTTATTGTTCGTAATTAATTGGTCAGTAGGAATTGAAAGAAAAAATTTCAAAAGTGGTTGTTTAAAGAACTGTTCGGATACGCTTTTGTTGGTTTTTAAATTATTAGTTCACTAGCTAGTAAATATATTCACATATGTATATATATTTATATATACTTATAATATATTAAGTTCGCTTTTTCAGTTAAAACTGTTGATATCGCAGAAAGATATTTCATTGCAAACCTTTTTTTGTTTCCGGTTTGGAAGTTTGTTGTAATCACTTTCGGCTTAATTCAATATAAAATTAATTGGGCCAAATTATTGAGAACACACAATATCTAAATAACTAACGGAGACGCCGCTAGCTAGCTTTGAACAATTGTGCTAAGAACTATTTTACTCAATACTTTGGATGATTAAAAAATAGCACTTTTATGCAACCATGGGCATCAAAATGCGCCCTCTCTCGCATTTCACATGCAACGGGGAACAAAAAATAAAACCTGGCAACTTGTCTCAATTATTTACTGATATATGACCGTTCTATTTATTAAAAAGTGAAATTTGTTGAAGAGTTGTTTTAATTTGCATCCTGGGATTTATGTAATAAATAATTTTCATATCATTTGAAAAAGTATGTTAATCAAATACCTACAGAATCACATGTCCTAAACTGTATTTAGTGACTACAATTTGCAATATTAAGATTAATATCAATCGAATAATCAACAATAGCCCATACACAATTCTTTGTTTAGCGTTTAATAGTGGCGAATACATATTTATGTACAGTATATACGAAGTGAATAATGAATAATTTTAATGTATTCAGAGGAGTGAATTTGCAGAAGTTACTTTATGTGAAAATATGTCATCAAGATAAATAGACAGTTTTTAGTATTAGGTAATATTATATAGCAGATTTATAATCTTGACCACGCACCCATATTTTGTTGCCATTTTAAATGCATGTGCATTGCCTTTGAGAAAACTCGTGAATTTTAATTGCATTTTTATTTGTTTTTTTTATTGTAGACTGTTTTTTTTAGATTTCTGTTTATTATGCTTCGCATCTATTTCACCACGAAATTCCAGTGTTGACAAACAAAAATTATATTGATATCATTACTCTATATTTATTGTTTGATAATATGTAAAGTCATAAAATTTAAATGTCTATACTTTCCATTATTTCAAGTTTAACTTAATTTTTCTATGACAAACCACCTGTCAGTATATCGTTATGATAACTTGAGATTTCAATATTTTCGTCCATGTAATAATGCAGATGTTCTTTGGTGTAGATGAATTTTACGCCGCATCTCCACAGGCAATGTACCTTTAATTTTATTTTACATTGCTAGCCATCTATGTAATTCATTGCCATTGAGATTGGCAATGTTCTTGTGTGGGCATTTGCTATCATGAAATATTCATTCTCGAAATGGCGTCGGGTAGGTGTGTTCGAGCTGATATAATGCATGTTTTAGCTCTTGAACTGTTTAAAAATTTTATGAGGATGACGGAAATTTATGTATAGGATAAAGAAAGTGGAAATCTGCTTTTTTCTAAAAATGTATATTTTAGAAAAATATGATTTTATGTTTTAAGGCTTAAATAAATAAGGCATAAAGTTTATTAACCAATTAAATATAATGATTGATATTTACATATGCTAACAATTATCATTAAAATATTAACCATATATATGTATGTATTTAATTAATATTGTCCATGTTTTGAATATTACTTTAAAATTGCAGTTTGCGCAAAAAAACATAAAACATTGGCATTTCATCTTTGGTGGCATCATGTCATGTTGAGATATGTTGCCTCTTCAAAATTTGTTTGCTAATAAAAACAGCTTTGTCAAATCACCAAAAGGAGAGTTCATTGCTAGCAATGTATGGCATTAAACCTTTAATTGCTAAAATCTTTAATTGCCTGTCGAGTTACCCCTTTATAACATCTTTAGCAACACTATTGTCGAAAGTTCACCTATTTTTTTTGTCTACGTCATTCCTTTTTCACTTCTTATTCCCCATTGCCCATTTTTTATTGGACTTTTTATGTTTGTCTTTCGCTGCCAGTCAGCCATTGTCAGTGTATTTATAAAATCGTCGCGACTGAATTTATTTTGGTGTAAATTTTTACTGTTGCTGAATATTAAACATTTATCCATTGTTTATAACATCATACTGCGTATTTCAGTTAAAGGTAAGTTCTATGTCTTGTGGAATTTAAGACATTAGATTTTGAATATTTTGTAAACATTGTTGCAATTCAATTAGAGGCGTAAATGGTGCAATTGTAGATGGAAAACGAAGTACGCGTTAAAAAATAAACGGGTTAGAAAACTGGTTGAAAAGGAGGAAGTGGTGATTACTCAACATCATTGAGAAGAGATTTACTGCAAGAAAGAGTTCTTTTTGGATTTATAAACCTAGGTCACACTGTTTTAGTTAGCGATATAAATCATTAAATACAAAATTTACTCCACTCAGACCAAACTAACATCATTCGTGCAAAAATAAATTTAATAATTTAATTAAAATATTATGGCTCGATATGGTTTACAAATTTTAAAATATATACATATGCGTAGTTGCTAAAAAAAAGTGATAAGTCCGCACATACATACATATATGCGCATAAGATAGAATATGATGAATCAGTCCTTAATTAATAACGTATACAAGACAATATTTAGTTTTGTTTAAAAGTTATTCATTTGTATTTCCTCTTAAGTACCGTTATGTATGTACATGCAGGAGGATTATCGTCAGCAATAAGATAAATTAGAATTTTATATTGTTTTTATTATTTCGTTAAATTGATTGGAATTTGGCACCCCCACTCTTAAGGACTATGAATTATTTTTCATTAATCATAATTTAGGGGTTCGTAATAAAGAAGTAAAATTAGTTGGATCTTTCAAAATTAAATATATGTATAATTATATGTCCATATGTATGCTGCTGTTAAATTATTAGTCGCAAGTTGCAGTAGGGACGGGACGTAATATTAGTTACGTACTTAAAAGACAAAGAAATGCATTAGTGTAGTAATCTGATTCTTCTTTCAGGCTTATCATTAACATAGAATTTTCATAAATTTTTAAAGAGCAAAGTTCGACAACAACCACATCGAAATAAGTAGATATGGCAACGCGCAAGAAGTCTTTGCTGAAAGTGATCATTCTAGGAGATAGTAGCGTTGGAAAAACGTCACTCATGAATCAATATATAAATAAACGATTCTCTAATCAGTACAAGGCAACGATCGGAGCTGATTTCTGTACAAAGGAAGTCATTGCTGACGACCGAGTAGTCACAATGCAAGTATGTGCACTTAATAACAAATGTTTAGTTCATTATTGCACGGAATAATTTTTTAAAACTGACTTCTTAGATTTGGGACACTGCTGGACAGGAACGCTTTCAATCTCTGGGGGTTGCCTTTTACCGTGGCGCTGATTGTTGTGTACTTGTATACGACGTCACTTCACCAAATTCATTTAAAAATCTGGATTCATGGCGTGATGAGTTTTTGATACAGGCGAGTCCAAGAGATCCAGATCACTTTCCTTTCGTGGTGCTCGGAAATAAAGTTGACATGGATAATCGGCAGGTAAAAAATGAATATAAAAAATACTAATCTCATAAAATTAGTATAATATATGTATGTCCTAGGTATCTACAAGGCGAGCTCAACAGTGGTGTCAATCTAAAAATGATATGCCATACTTTGAAACTTCAGCGAAAGACGGCACAAATGTAGAATTGGCATTCCAAACTATTGCTAGAAATGCGCTTGCTCAGGAAGCCGAGGTAAAGATGAAAAACCTAAGCCACTTTTAAATGTTTATACTAATTTGAATTTGCAGGTTGAACTATACAATGAATTTCCTGATCAAATCCGCCTTAACACAGATCGTAACAATCGCAATGGCAATTCTGATAACTGTCAGTGCTAATATAACTATGCTGAGTTTAGCAGAATAATGGATCGTATTGAAATGAGCGTAAAAAAATACATATATATAGATATGAATATTCATAACGCGTTCGCGGCTATAATAAAATTCAACAAAAAATAGACATAAACAAAGATGCAATTGGTATAGCAGTAAAAAAGCGAAAATATTAAAAAAGAAGTAAATATATTTGCATTAAACTGCAACTAAACATAATTTAAATATACATTAAAATATGAATATTATTACTATAATACTACACACAATTATACATATATGATAAAGATTACGATATATAATTTAAAGGGGTTATACATTAAGTAAAACAAATTTCAAGAAAAATAAATTAAAATCGAAAAAAACTCACACCGTACTAAACAGGAAAACCATTTTTTCAGCTACTAGTTTCGCCAAATAAAAGTGCAGTTAACTTGAACTATTTGTATGGAATTATCGCTGTTTCAATTACATTATGCGCACTAATACCTGGCAATTGTTTTAAAGTTTTAAGTTGCAATATATGTACAACTAATTTTTATAATAAAGTTACATATTTAGGTAAATTAATTTTTTTATGTTATCGCAACAAGTAAGAAGACATCAAAAAAATAGTAAGTGTAAGCTATTTTTCAGCACATCCAATGTGTATATTTTATTGAGTATTATAGTGACTTTGTTAATGAAATCGAATATTTAGTTTTCTTGTATAAAATACAGTACGTTTTTTTTTTTGTTTATTACGGAAAATTACCTAAACATTTCTCTGAGGACGTTTTTTGTTTCCCGTGTGTATTGATATAGTTTAAAACGACTACGGTTTTTAGGTATTAAGTTCAGGTGCGAGTTTCACCCGATTTGTCATTAAATAACAAGAAAATTTTAACAGACTGATTCGCATTTCGGACGTTTCAAAATGCTCTACAATATATATATCCAGTTTCCCATCCTGATTCTTAAATATATATACCAAACATAATTAATTTGAATTAAAGAGTGTTTTGTAAAAGACAATATTTGAATTAACATAGGATTGATCACTTCATTTGTTTCTTATTGGATAATTCAGTTCTTATTTTCCTGGCTCAAGTACTTGCGTTAAAAATTGAAAGGTCCATTTCGATTACCACTGTTATTATCTCTTTACAGTGAAGATTTGTGTATTAGAAATACATATATTAGTTGAGTTAAACTAAATTGTACAACAAATATATTATTTCCATTCAAATCCATTTCGGCAGCGTGTTAAAATTGTTTCGATAATCATTTCAAACCACTCAGTGGAGAATTCCGAGTAATCGGCGGTGTGAAATAACTTAACTTTGGCTTCTGTGGTCAGAGTTGAGCACAAATAGTAGTTAATAACAGTTTCGGTTAGTTCTGCATGGTAGTTGCGAAGTGACCACTCCAATACACTTAAGCAATTCGTGTCATCCAACAAACCGACCAGCATTTGTTGTAAAAATGTTTCCATTTCGCTTATTATGTAGACACGTGCCATTTCGAAAGCTTCAAGTATGGCATTATAATCAGCTCTATTGGGTACATTGTATTTTAATTTTTGCGAACGTCGAACAATCAAGTTGAGGAAGTAGCGCAAACCACTCACCGAACATGTACGTAAATGAATTTCACCTTCATTTCGTTCTCTGAAATCACTATTCAACATAGTGCTAAATACTTCGCTGGTATTGCATAGTAGCTCCTTATTAAATTCGACTATCTGCTCAACATCACAAACAGTTGAAACGAGTTGCTCCTTGCTCGGCTCCGATTTGGGGTTATGTATGTGCACCACAAAACGCATATCACAATTACCGTGCAAGGGCTCATTTTCGTTGTCAACGAACTCTTCATATCTTTCGTTGACACGCGCAGCCTCATTACTGCGAGGCACTGAAATGCCAAGAGTATATTTTGCCATCGCGGTTAATGCATCGACTGCTTCGGCAGTAAACTCATCATGTTTGCCATTTAAAATAATTTGTAACAAAAGGCTGAGAGCATTACCATCATTTAGGAACTGATACAGTAAGCGTTGACTTCTAATTATGTATGCAACGGTGATGGCAGCCCGTTTCTGTGCATATTCATCATCACTGCGTAAAAAGCGCGCCAGCTCTTCTTTCCCATAATTAGATTCGCCAACACATGTTAGGGTCACCAAAAACCCAAATCCGTCCTTATTAACCTACAAAATAACATATATATTCAATATGTGCACATTTACAAATTTTGCTTGAAAAATCAAACCTCTTCACTCTTTGTCAACTGGTAAAGTTGGTGCGCAATGCCACTTCGTATGACCTGGGCAAAGAACTGGCTTTCCCTAAAAAAAACAGTCGAAAGTTATAAGAATATTGCAATCTTGTATATGGATATATAAATTCGAACTTACTGCAAAATATTTGTTAAGGAGCTAGCAAAATTATTATTTGCACCAAAGACATTGATGGCTTTGATGAGCGTGTTCATGGTTTTCGATTTTCCTAACTCGCCCCGCTTGTTGACTAGCAGTGTAACGCGAAAGAGTAGATTTTCCAAGTGATCCAAGGTACTTCGAGGCATGTTTCCTAATTGTGGGAGCTTCTGATATGGTACATCTATATAAATGATAAAATACTTATGAATTGGCAGGTGGAGATGCATAACAACGTTCACAGAACATACCTTGACTCTGTTCATCGTCTTCTTCTTTATCAAGCATGTTGTCTTCAATTGTCTCATTTATTTGACTGGCAATATCTAGCAACCTCATTATTTCCGAATTATCTGTAGAGGTATTGGGATTTATAGGAAAATTAGGGTTATCAAGAGTTATAACATTTAATGGCCTTGTCTCATTTATTTCAGTTGGTATCGTCTCTTCGTCATCTTCCTCATCGCTACAAACAGGTGAATAAGTTTCATCGTCGGATGCATCTTCTAAATAAAGAAATATATACTTGTTTCATTAAGAAAATTGTGCTGATATTTACCTTCAGTTTTAAATAAATTGTTACCAACCGGTGACATGCCTCGAGAGCTACACGGGCTGGAAGGGGCATTATATGAGCGTGGTGAACTACTGGGAGACTCACAATCAATCAGGAATGTCTTATCCTGGACCTTAATCACCTATAGTCAATAAATTTCGTAAGTCAATAACATATATTTCGCAAAGGATAATTTTAAATGAGTGAACTCTTACCTTGTTCCTTGTTTCTCTACTTTCTTCCTTAGGTAGTTTACGTTTCTTAGAGCTTTGTTGCTTTTCTTCACGTTTTTTCTTGTGATATTCATCATCGCTGGTTAGAAAAGTGTTCAGTTCTTCTATAATGACCGGTACCAGGCCTTCTCTGAGCATTAGGTCCATGCTCATATTATCATATTGAAAATTGTTCAGTAAATACAAAATCTAAAAGGTAATAAGGCACATATATATTCGGCGAATAATGCAAATAACTTTTAATTGAGATTATAACCTGAGACTTTTCCGTATTCGACTGGGAATCGCGCACCATTGCGATAAGTTTCCGCAAAGCACCGGACCGACGTATTTTGGAGCGATTGCAAGCATCTGGAGAGAGCATACAGATAATATGAATACAATGTCTTTTCTCACTCTCTGTTAAAGGTCTTGTCATATTTTGTGCAACAAGCAGCTCGCAAGCGGCTACAACCGAATCTGCTGAACTTAGCATATGAAATGCATCCCATTGCTTTGAGAAATTTGAAATTATTTTCAAAGCCATTCCCCGTTGTGGATTTTCTTCAGTAATAAAAAATGTAATAGGTGCAAAAGTACATCCACTGGTATTTAAAGTCTAAAAATACAAACGTTAAGATATAACAATTTACATGATTTGAGAGTTTCTTACTTTCCACGCAGAAGGACCAATGGATAGCTCTGCCAAAACAAGCAAGCATTTAAATATTTCGCCAGCTAAATCCAAAGCGGCTTTTTCCTCAGGCATTGAGTAATCACCTAGAGCGCGTGGTTGGTTTTTCAACATTTCATGATCGAATATGTCACTACGTACACCTTCTAAATTACGCGCTACCTCTTCAAAATATTTTTCACGATGTTGGCTGTTCTTTAAGCCGACAGCACCACTATCAGCTCTTTTACAATTTAACAATTCACCCTGTTGTGTAGGAGTATCTTTTTTCATGATAGACGTTAAAATACGCAATGTTGTTACGAAACCATTCGCTGCAAGAAAGTGCTGCACAAATTGTTGACTTGGTAACAAGAACCGACAGGCCCGAAAAGCCATAAGACGTGTATTTACATCGCTCGTTTCTGTAATTATTTGACAAACGGCCTGAGCAATGGCGGGACAATGAGCAGTAAGCAATTGACTCGAAAATCCTTTGGCGAGATTTCCAAGTAAGCGGCAAGCACGACATTGTATAACTGGATTGGGAATTGATTTCAATATAGTTGTGAGCGGAAAAGCCACCTTGCAGTTAAGAGCCTAAAAAGCACATTCATTACATTAGGATAATATACTTATGATTTTTGTTTGTAAGTAGACTTTACTTCTTTACAACTTTCTTCATCAGTACAACAGTTTCCAAGTATACTCAAGGCTACTTCCAGAATTTTTTCATGTGGTTTATTTAAAAATCGTACCATAGGTGGCACACCTCCTGCTACTCGGAACAGTACAATCCCGTCATTGTCCTTTACTACGTCTGTTCGTAGCTTTACCAGACCCTTGATAACTACATTTTTGTCCGTGGAAGTTTTAAGCACGGTCAAAATGTTTTCAACGAGTTCTCGATTCATTTATATTTTAATACCACTTATTTCTCGAATATAATTTTAACGATTTTAGTTCTCAACGCTGCGTGTATTTATTAAAAACAAAAATTCACATATTGTAAAGTTAAGCAAAATAATTCATCAAACACGAAAATAGAGATAAACAGAAAATAGAACGCGGAATAAAAGGGGATCATAAAATGACCATCAGCTGTTTTGCAGAACACTTTCCATTTTTTAATTTGCCTGTTTTTGTAGAATTGATTGCCAAAGTTGATCATTGATGGTTGTTTTGAAACTTTCCATCTGTAATACTAAGAACCATGAAGAGACATCTTCAATTGAGCATAAAACAAGTAAATTTGTTAGTTTAAACAGTTATAAATATTTTTTAATAGATATGTTACATGCAAGCTTTCGGGTCGTTATGCAGATGGGAGTATTTCGCCTCGCATTGTCGTAGATCACTCGTTGGATGACGCTGTCAAATTGAAACGTTTAAATGCATTTATACGATTATCACCTGAAAAGGCCCTGCACCAAGCTAAGGAATCTGATCATCGGTACGAGAAGAAAGCGCAATTGGGCATACTCGACGGAATTCCTATTGCCATAAAAGATAATTTTTGTACTAAAGAAGTTACCACAACTTGTGCTTCACGGTAAATTTTAATATTTTTTATTTGAAAAGATATTTATATTAATAATTATCTTTAACAGAATGCTTTCGAATTTTGTACCACCTTTTAATGCAACGGTTTGTGAGCGACTGACAAACGCCGGTGCTGTAATAATTGGGAAAACAAATATGGATCAATTCGCAATGGGTTCCGGGACAGTAGACTCCATTTTCGGGCCATCAAAAAATATTTGGAGTAATAATTTTGTGGATAAATGGCACATTGCCGGTGGAAGCTCTGGGGGTTCGGCAACTGCAGTTGCAGCAGGAATATGTTATGCGTAAGTAAGATACACTACTTTCCTTAAGGAACTTAAGTCCTTCCTTAACTATTTTTTTAATTTATACATTACATTTTATTATATATATGTCGACTTTTTTAATATAGATCTAACTGTAAGTCGAGGGTATTTTTTTTTTTTTATATACATATGCACTTTATTAGCAGTAAACCCAACCTCAAATATTAATTTTAATATCATTAGATTTCATACTATACATATTTATTCGGTAAAATTGTTTCTGCTACATTTTAGTTAAGGAAACAGCTTCCTTGAAAGTGCTAAATTAATTTCTTTTTAGCAGTGCTCTAGCAGCAACACCATTCAAATTACATAACAGCAAAAAAGTTATATTTTGCCAACACAAATGAATTAGTTTTGTTACAAATTTTAATTATATATATTTAAATAATAATTTCCACATCGCCTAATTCTTCATCCGATGGCAAATGAAATGATGCTGGATCTACGTAGTTGGGATTTACCAGATCAACGCCTGCCTGTTCTCGACGACGCAATTCTAGATAAGCTTCACGTTGCGCCCAATCGCGCAGTTGTGGATCAGGCGAATATGACCATAGAAAAGTACCCCAAACCAAACAAAGTGTCACTGCTGTGAAAAAACTCATTTTTGTGGTATTGCGATCATTTGTTTCATCCTTATAGTCGAATCCGTAGCTCACCCAATTTTTTGGGTTGGGGTTGGCAAAATCCTCTTTACTGCTTGGTGTAATAACAGCTGCAGTGTCATCTTTTTTCTGGGAAGTTTTAATGGAACGCGATAAGCTTAACGCCATGCTACGTTGCAGCATGCTGCGATTAGCCAATCGAATTAGCATCGACATTTTTTATTGAAAATTACGTGAAAACTGACAGAAATTTTATTCAATAATCAGTGTATTTACTTATATTTTTTCACCTTTCAGTACATGACAGACGCAACAGAGCATATGACTGACCAACTAAAGTAACAAATGTCAAATTCAGCTAGTGTTGCCAACATTGTTTACATATCAATTGTAGTCAAAATAAAATAGAAATAATATTGGGTTGATTTTGAGTTAATTTAAGAATATTTCAAATATATTCAGTTATATTTTTTAATTACTACAAAATATCGAGATTGGCAACCGTTCGTTGCAAGAGATTGCCCTCTCACTCTCAGCTCACTCGTTTCTACGGGAAAAATCCAATTTTCGCGGATATCCTACCGTACGGTCTGTATAAGCAGACGGTAGAAGCGGTGGTGAGTGTTCATTTACATTCCGCTCTCATAAGATAGGTCGTATCAGCTGATTCGATCCACGATTTTGTGTCGGTGACTGTTTGAACTACAAGGGCTTGTTGTTCGCATAGACAGAGCTCCTGGTCGTCGTATCAGAAATCAGCATATTTAACTTTTTTTTGAGCAAATAGACAGGTAGGTTGGTAAGAAGAGAGGTCTGGCAACGCACCGAGGACCATTGTGAAACCACCGCAACTTAAATCCCCTCAAACTACCAGAGGATTTGGATTTGAACCATCTGTTATCTTAATTAGGTTCATATATTTGAAAAGTTTAATATGTACGTGTGTGCAACTTCCGGGACATCGTCAATAAAGCCGCGGTCGTTAGTTGATGTTCTTTTCCTTTACCCGGATTATCCAAGAACTGTCACCTTGGCATAACTCCGCCACAACAACAAACCGTTCCCTCGTCAGTTGGGTCTACTTAACCGGAACGGATCCGGATTTTTCCGGCCAGGGACTGTAATCGCGTCAGAATTCTGCCGCTACAACAACAACATTATTTCCTTTGCAAAGCCTTGCATTCACATAGAAGATGTTTTACAGTCCCTCCTTCTATCGCTGAGCAGCTTCTACAGTAATCGTTATTTTTACCCTCAGTCCGTCGGCGTGTCTTCCAATAAGACAGTGACCTGTTAACACTCCTACTAGGGTAAAGTAAATATCACTGTGTCCTAGATCTCATTGTTTATCGTGAAATAGGATGTTACTTCCACCAATAGATCAAGACATTACTTACCTATCTTTGATGAAACCCTTCGAGACTTTAGTGATCTCAAAGCCGCTTGACTGTCTGTGAAGATAAAAATATTTCTTGTTTGAGCACTCTCTTTGTCAGAACAAGGAGGCTTTCTTTAATTAATTTAATTTAGGATATTAAGTAATATAGCTTTAAAAAAGTAAATAGTTAGAAATAAATACATACGTTTATTTAGTTTTTTTAAGCCATATTACTTAATATCTGAAGGATTTACTATTAAATCAAGCCCATAAAATTAGTGTACTCATCGTATTATTTGGGAGTAATTGGATTGTTGGAAATAGGCCTGTAGTTAATATAATACTAACTGAGTTGGGATAATGATTTAATCTGTATACTTTTCTTATGTACGTATGTATGTAGGTAAGCCTTGCTAAAGATAGATATATGTATAGTAGTATATATATTGTAAACCTTGGTTTTTAGGTATCGTCTTGCTTTCATTTCATTTTCGGAAACTTAAACTAAACTAATCTAAGCTTCTAAGATCAAAGAGACGTTTGATTGCACTCAACCTATAAAACCATTAAATAAAAACAATTATATTTTTTAGGGCTATCGGATCAGACACGGGTGGGTCCACACGCAATCCTGCGGCATACTGTGGCGTTGTTGGTTTGAAGCCCACGTATGGCCTTATTTCGCGTCATGGTCTCATCCCGTTGGTAAACTCCATGGATGTACCTGGTATTTTTGCACGCAGTGTTGGTGATTGCCTTGACGTACTAAACGCAATTGCTGGTCCAGATGACAGGGACTCCACTACAATAAGAAAACCATTTCGAAAAATTGATATAGAATTATATGAGGAACTTGATCTTCGAAATGTACGTATTGGTATACCAAAAGAATATCATTGCGAAGGGATCTCCAGTGAGGTATTGGAAACATGGATGAAAGTGGCGGATTTGCTGGAAGATAAAGGAGCTTATGTGCAGCAAGTTTCATTACCGAACACTTCAGCAAGCATATTCGTATACTCCATATTGAACCAGTGTGAAGTAGCGAGTAACATGGCACGATACGATGGCATCGAGTATGGGCATCGTGCCAAAATTGAGAGCAGTACGGAAGAGTTATATGCGAATACACGAGCCGAAGGTTTTAATACGGTGGTAAAAACACGTATTCTGACCGGAAATTATTTTTTGCTGCGCAAAAACTATCATAAGTACTTTGAAAAGGCACTGCGGGTCCGCAGATTAATTTCCGAAGACTTCAAGCGGGTGTTTGAAACTCCCAAAGATAATGAAAACATAGTGGATGTGTTGCTCACTCCCACCACATTGACGGATGCACCCTTATATAATGAATTTGTATCGCAAAGTAACCGAGATCAATGTGCAGTGCAGGACTTTTGCACGCAACCTGCCAATATGGCCGGAATACCAGCTATTTCCATACCAATACGTCTTTCGAAACGTGGTCTCCCAATTGGCCTGCAATTGATGAGTAAGGCACTAAACGAAGAAATGTTACTACGGGTTGCTAAATTTATAGAGCAACAAGTAGAATTCGACTGTTTGGCTAATGAACAAATTTATGCTGCTCGCAGTTAACAGGGCTGCTGATCACTTAGTTTCTGAGTTTACTTAGCACCGAAATATTTTTTTGTTTCATAAGCAACTCCTTTAAGTAAGAAATAAATATAATAAAATATGTATGTGCTCTAATATTCAGATTTTAATTAACTGTTACGTTTTGCTTGTAAAACAACATAGTTAATTATTTTGTTGAACAAAGTTATTATTAGTTGTTTTGCTAAACCCACTATTGGTATACCAGAATTATTATTTTGGAAGTCTAATCATAGTACTGTATTATGTTTAGCTTGCCTGTTGGATTTTTGGCGTTGTATTGTATGGGACTGTAACGAAACTAAAAAGTAATAGAGTTATAAAATGTTCGTTATCTATTCATCTTCAACTACCAACCTTTCCGAAGTCTTCTCAATCTCTCCAGATGCCCATTATGTATACTGCGATTTAATCGGAACGTTCCGGCCGCGCCCTGGCCAGTTATTTGTTGAAACTTGCCAGTTTTGATGCTAAAAGCAATGTAGCGTGAAACGAGTTTTAAAGCTGAAAATATTTTGAAACCTCTAAAGAATATGCTTGTAAAACAATATGCTCAAGACGCACTTTTATCAGAGTTATAAGGTTGTTCTTCCCTCAATGACTTTTTTACGGCGTACAAAGAGACGCCGCCCCTCTTTCCAAAGGTGTGCGTAAATACATAGCCGTCGATTATATTATGCAGCTTTATATGAGATGTCGGATTGTTTAAATTATAAAATGTAGCGGAGATGTTATCCGATCTACCTCCTTCTCTCTGATTAAATTGTAACGTTGAAGCCTGCTCAACATTACTCATATCGGCCAAAACTGAACGCTGAAATTTTGGTAAAAATTGTCTGCATATGTTAGTAGTAACTATAAGAACTTAAATTTACTTTACTGAGAACATTTCTCTGCCCAAGTATTTTATTATAATCAGGAGCAGAATGACCAACATGTCTCGTGTATGTTTTAGTTAAAAAACTCTGTATTTGATTTGGGCGGGGAGAAGTATGACAGACATCACGATTGCGTAGTTTATGCACCATTTTGTACAGTGTTTTATCCAAAATACATAATCACAATCTAATTTCAAAACATGGAAAAGTATAAATATTTGTATTTTTCAAAACCAAAACAAAATATTACTAAACCACCGCAAATGAAAGTGAAATTTCAGCAACTATAACTATTTATAATTGACATATTATTCCGTTACCCACCTACTAACTGTACATTCTTTTGCTTATAGTAGTTATGTACATATAAATGTATGTATATAGATAAAATATGTTTATTGTATTGGAATTTGATTTTATACTATCGCAACATATTGCTATAGAGTAAATTAGTTTTGTTCGCTTAACGATTATTTGTATTGTATAAATGGCCAGAATTGGACCATTGCCAAGGTACAATGCTATTATTTAGTTCTGTCCCCCTATTAATGTGCATATATCACAAACCTAAAGCTAAATCGACCAAACTTACTGAGGACAAGTCCTTTTGGCATCTCCTCATATGTACAAGTATATACCGGGTGTACCGGTATAAAATGAGATTTTTTTTTTGTGAAAATTAAATACTACTTTTGAATGGGAAAGTAAAAACAAAAATATTTAAAGTATTGACCATTGCCTTTTACACATTTTGACCACCTTTCTGGCAATTTGTGGATCCCATGCCATTAGAAATGTTCGTCTTGTGAAGCAAACCAATCAGACACTCAATTTTCGACTTTTGGGTAGAAATCGAAGTGCTGCTCAGCCAATGCGTGTCCCAATGATGAAAACAAGTCTGGTGAATACGCCGGTTCGAGTAGCAGCTCCCAGCCAAGTACTTTGATTGTACCATAAATCAACCGGTCGAAACCGGACCATAACTCTTCAAGCCAACAAATACCGAATATGTTAACCACAGCGCTTCTGGCTGACCTTATACCGATAATGTCGTTCAATTTGAGAGATGTATTATTGAAGTTCTGAGAGAATCTTTTTCTAATAATAGTTTGTCTTGTGTCAAAAATGGATTAAATCGGGTCAAAATTTCCCACAGCCCTTATATACCCAACATAAAGATTTTCGAACTTCCTGTTGACTTTCTACCTTAAATAACAGTCAATTTTAACAGATTCTATACCGAATATATCGGTCAATGTGTGAGCTATCTTCCTAAAAAGAAAATATGTTTTCGAATATAATTAAGTTGTAAAAGTTAATGCAATCAGTCAGATCCTCCCTGCTCTCCACTAAATGTGATATAGTGATTTCCATCCATTTGTACTTTCCATCTGACTTTAAACCCTTTATATCGGTCAATATGTGTGAAAATTTTTTGAAATTAAGTTAAAAATGTATCTAAAAATATTATGGTTTAGCGCAGAATATGAAAGAAATTGCCTTAGGTCTTGGTCTAAACCTCATATCCAATCCTCTAGTTGATGTTTTTTCCATATATCACATTTAGCACCTTTGATTGAGTTTATACTTGTATTACATATAAAACGTGTGAGTGAATTAGGTTGATTTTAATATAAATATTTTGTATACGCTGTAATAGGTATTAATAACACTAAGTGAGTCTATGATCTTCAATATAAGTTAATAAGATACCAAGTTTGATTGTAATCCACTCATGCTTCCGTCAAATAGCGAACGTGAATTCTTTTCCCCCATTTTTTAATACACCTGAAAATATTTCTCCGGCTTTGGTTTGGCCTTTAAGTTGCGAGAACATAAAATGTACGGTTATACCTGAACTTAACTCTTTCCTTCTTTTTTTCTGTAGATTAAAAAAACAAATACATTTGTCTATTGAGAATTGCATGCACTTTCAAATAGTTGACCGTGAGAGAAGCATGGCTTGTCTTAAAGCACCCCTGCTAGCTGTAATGTCTGCCCTTATGCTTTGTTCAACAGTAAAGTTGAGTTTGACGGGAAACTGAACAAATTTTTATCTTTTTCTTTATTTGGAATTACAGCACTAATTATTTTGTCTATTTGGTTCGGGAGCAGCTTCTTGCTAGCATTTCTCCGTAAGCTTTCGTGCATACAAAATTTTCAACAAACAACAAATACATTTTTTCATTTTTCAAAATTTCAAATTTTCAAATTTGTTTGCAAACAATTACGTAAAGTTCGACGAAAAAGATTTTTTTTCAATCCGTAAGAAATATACTTTTTTTTAATAATAAGCATCCTATGCTCTTTCCAATTCCATTATGTATACGAGTATGCGTACAGTTGTGAACCTAGCTGAGTAATAAACCATCTGATTGTCTTGTCTGATAATTTGTGCCGAAAAGGTGAGAGTTATGCATATTCGTTAAGTGTTTTGATTATATTTTTCAATCCAATATTGGTTCATGTCGTATTAAAATAGTGTGTAATTTGTTTTTGATGTTTCCAAAATTGCATCACGGCTGGGTTATGAACCCCCCGTATTTCATGCTAGAGTTGTATCAGAACTGTAAAATATCATTAGATACATTGAAACAAAGTGCTTTTATGTAATTTTACTCTATTTGTGTTACGTGCATGTTTATTTATTTTAAATGTCAATCTTACAAACAACCCCCGCTGCCGATTCCAAAGAAATGACCTTTAATGCGTTATTGGATGTCATTAAAGACAATTTGTTGAAGAAAAGACCCATACAAATGGTTGCCCGTGAATATGTAGTCGATAGGATCCCGCTGACCTGTCACGTGAAAAAAGTTTATCACCATTTATCTTGCATTCTTTTATATCTATCTTTATAAACAGTTACAGATAAAACAAGTAAGGAAGGGCTAAGTTCGGATGTAACCGAACATTTTATACTCTCGCAAAGTCAAATGGTATACTCGTTTGAGATTTCGTTGTGGATTGACGGATATTTTCGGTAGAAGGTCAACTATAGGCACTGGGGTCCACATATTTAGTACTTAGGGGTTTGAACAGTTTTGGTTCGATTTAGACAATTTTTGGCCGCAAGGTGGCATACTTTAATTGCATTATTCACGCAAAGTTTTACCCCGATATAATCATTGTTACCTGATTTGCATAGTGGGAAGTGAAAGAATCAGATGGAATTGAAAATGGTGTTACATGGGAAGTAAGCGTGGTTGTAGTCCGATTTCGCCCATTTTCGCACTATGACATAGAAACATGAAAAGAACGTTATGAACCGAATTTGGTTGAAATCGGTTGAGCAGATCTCAAGATATGGGTTTTCACCTAAAAGTGGGCTGTGCCACGCCCACTGACTAATTTTGAACGCGGTTCCTATAAAGTCATCTCATACCATCTCAGAGATAAAATTTAATGTCTCTGGCGTGTTTAGTGCTTGATTTATCGCGCTTTTAGTAGTTTTTAACAGTACCGTTATATGAGGAGTGGGCGGAGTTGCCACCCGATTTCAACTATTTTCACACCGTCAATAGAAGTGCTAAAAACATTTGCTTCTAGTGAAGTTTGTTGTTATAGCATTAGCGGTTTAGGAGATATGCACATTAAACCTATTAGAGGCGGGACTACGCCCACTTTTTAAAAAAAAGTTTTAACTGCAGATGCCCCTCCCTAATGTAATCCTGTGTACCAAATAACAGTCTTGTATCTTATTGCGGAGCTTAGTTATGGCAAGTTATTTGTTTTTGATTAATGACGTGGCAGTGGTCCGATTACGCCCATCTGCAATACCAACCGTCTCACGGTACCAAGAAACATGTCTACCAAGTTTCATAAAGATATCTCAATTTTTACTCAAGTTAGAGCTTGCACGGACGGACAGACAGTCACCCGGATTTCAACTCGTCTCTTCATCCTGATCATTTATATATATATAACCCTATATCTAACTCGATTAGTTTTAGGTGATACAAAAAACCGTTAGGTGAAGAAAACTATTATACTCTGTAGCAACAGGTTGCGAGAGTATAAAAACAAAACCCTGTTCACAATCCAGCCCCCCTGTTTTGTGTATGGATTATCAGAGTTCCCTTAATACTCTTAATCACAATGTTTTTTTCCGTTCGTAATAAAGGCAAGTTTCTTGTTGCAAAATAAAAGGCCGTGATTTAGTGAAAGCAAATACTGGTCCAGGGATTAAACGCTATTGTATCAATCAGTATATCTACATAACATAGCGCTGGGGCATTTTTCAGGGTTAGATAGGTATTAACAAATTTCAGAAAAGCAGTAAATAAATGGTTTCACAGGTTCGATGATTTCTTGGTATGCACACACATATGTTTATTTGTAAATAAATAGTTACTTTCCGGTAATTAAAACAAATGCTTTCACTACGCATGAAATTTGTACATATGTATTTTCGTAGAATAGCCGGCATGCGCATGTACTTATCTAAATGAGAATGCACTAAAAACGCCATTATGCATTTGGGCGTTAACTAATTTACAAGATTAATACAAAAACCACATTGGAGCCGCGTATGAAGTACCAAAGTGAGGTAAGTAAAACCTCATGAAAACTAAAAGTTATTCACCTTTAAATTCAATGCTCAAACTTCGTTTGCAAACGCAAGCCTTTAGCGCAATCACTGTGCAACGGCTTAGGGGTTTACGAGCTTCCAAAAAACACTCGTGAATATATACAAGTACAAACATATGTATATAAGCACAAGTATTATGCAACATGATTAATGACCAACAGTTCACATTTCTTTCCACAGAACTGTTTGCTACCATTTTATAGCCACCACTTTATCGTGTGATAGGTACCGCCTCTCGGCTGTTTGGTAGTCAATTGATTAAAATCTTTCGACTGAAAAAACATTTAATGTAGTTACGCAAACTATTTCAGCTGAATTAGATTGGAGCTTTGAAAATGAGAGAAACGTATTGTTAGAAAAGTAATATTGCCGGTTAGTTAAAAACGTTATCTATCGTTCTCTGTATTTTCCATATCGTTTACGTATGTCGGAGAGGGTTTATGGCTATTGGTTAAGGTCAGTACAAAGTGTCTACAGGCGGTATATACATACGTACATACAATACGTAAGTAGGAAGATTCTTGAATAACATATCAGCCGTAGTGATATATCGGCTAAATGTGCTTTAAAAAATTGTTTTGAAATAAAAGGTTGATTCAAGCTGACCACATTGCGTTTTCAGTGGCATTAATTATTTAACAACTGTGATTGACGTTTTGAATATGATGCACTCATCAGACTTGAGTGTATGATGCACTCACCGGACTTTTTTGGAAATAAACTCTTTTTCTTGCTCTCGTTTCCACAGTGGACACTTAACGCCTACTTCATTGAACTACTTTTTCTACGCTGAACCATTGGATTACAATTCTATCTTTGTGCATACATATGTGTGTGTATATGTATGTACATATGTATGTCTGTTTGCGCAATTGTCAGTATATAACTGTCATTCCAGTCATTATTTACTAAATTTCACTTTCTACGATGTACTTATCTACATACCATATAAGTGAATCGGGTCAGGCAATCAGACATGGCAGATTATGCACTCGAATACGTTTATTTGACTTCTTCTCTGCAACGAATTGCGAATGTGTAGCAAAACCATGTTTCAAGTAATTTCCATTTAAAGTAAAATCCTGAAATACAAATATCATAAATATCTACCTTTGTATATAGAGCTTTTTATGTACACATCTACAGGTATGTACATACATAAATACAACGTTGCATATGTGGGTATGTTTGTATGAATCGGTTTCAGTTTTCTTTGGTAAAAGTTTTAACAAACAACGATAACCCATGACTCAAACCTGGCATGTTAATGGAGTACCAACGCCGGTTGACTGATAAAATATATATCTATGATTACATAACATTGGCAATTTCACTTATAAATGAGGTTAAATGCATTCGCACAGTACCTTTTAGGAGTACCATGTCTAAATTATTTTATAAGCTTTGAGAAGAGTTTGGCTTCCATTCCATCACAAGCTCACTGCTTTCAGTACCCATAAAGCAGTCCACAAACAATTGGGTATATCTGTGACTTGTAGTCATTTGAAGACCCTCATTATTAAATTGAAAATCAAAGTACCCCATTCTATTAACATTCAACTTGGGAGATTATTATTTTTGGGTAGAAGACTTGATATGACGATTCTAAATTTAATTGATAACGGTACCGAACAGAAGAAATCCTCTCCGGTAAATATGCCTTTACAACGGTTTATATAGCCCATTTATGTAAAAACATCCCATAATTTTGGCAGCGAATACCCAAAATTTATTTACCTGTCTTTAAGCGCCTTCACTGCATAAAATTGTCGGCTCTGATTTGTCTTTTCTGCTACTCTCGAAACTGGATGATGTGATATGATCCGTTAGGTAACGGCATATACAAACGATGCATAAGGAGTGAGATCATTACAACAAAATTAAATAGTACTCATGTTACTTTGTTTAATAATTACTACAATGCATTTTTAAACTACAATCCCTACTTTATGCAATCTGTCATTGAAACCGTTCCATACATGGCAATACCAATTTGTCGCATTGTTCATTTCGATGTCGGCGTACCGGTATGAAGTGAGCGTTAAGATGCAAATGTTTTGGAAGGGAGCATTTGTTGTGAACGAGCCTTAAATTGTTTTCTGTTTGGTTGGCATGATAAACAACATCATATTTTTTCATTGCGTTGAAAATGTCAAATTTTATCCCGGAAAGTGATGATTTGCGGAAAGCATTAATTTTTTGTTTCCATATAAAGAAAAGTGCTGCAGAGTCGCATCGAATGTTTCTCGAGGCATATGGTGATCATGCTCTATCAGAAGCAAATTGCAAAAGATCTGAGAGAGATGAGAAATGAAGAACGTGGAAGACCACCAAAAATGTTTGAAGACGCCGAACTGCAAGCAATATTGAGTGAAGATGATACTTTGAATCAATAGCAAATCGCAGCCATGTTAAATGTTGTACAACAAACAATTTCAGACCATTTGAAAGTTATGGTAAAGATCCAAAAGGATGTGGAAAATGGGTGCCACATGAATCGAATGAAGGACAAATGGAAAACCGAAAAAAGACTTGAGAAATTTCGCTTGAAAGACACGAAAGAAAATCAGTTTTGCATCAAATTATCACTGGCGATGAAAAATTAATTTATTTTAAAAATCCTAAACGGGGAAAATCATGGGTTAATCCTGGACAACCATCGACATCGACTGCAAAAACAGATCGATTCGGTAAGAAGACAATGCTCTGTGTTTGGTGGGACCAGAAGGATGTGGTATATCATGAACTTCTATAACCTGGTGAAACTGTTAATATTAATCGCTACAAAATACAATATATGTATATAAGTATTTATATTATATGATTTATTATTGTTAATTACAGATATCATCTGAAAAGCCGAACGAAGGGGATTGAACTGCATTGTCTGCACCGTGGTTACATTCACAAAATCACCTGGTTGCCACACGCCTTTGTAAGTAGCATGCAAGAGAATATCACGCTGCGGCATATTTGGCGGCATTCTTAATCAGTTCAAGAATCAGGTACCAAACAGAAGCTTAGTTTGCTCTTTCTTTTTGTTTATTTCACAGCGATAAAGAAATGAGTACGATATACAGACGGACGTATGCATGTATGTGCGAATGCACATCTTTTGAATTGCTGGCAATTAGCAAACAAACCGCAATTATTACAGCAAAAAATGCATATCTTATTTAGATTCGCTCCTCATAACGCGAATTGGTGTTTGCAAGAGTGACACGAACTCCAGCAGCGACGAAAACAATGAACTTACAGCCGTGAGGGAACCGAACACGGCAACTGTGGCTAATCTACAAGCATGCACACACACTCTAAGCCACGCGCCCAAATGTTTTCTCATTTCAATTATTATATCTATATAAAGGAGTTTCCAATCGGGGCAACTCGGTTTGAAATTGAATGAACTAATTGATGCATCCTAATCGATTTAAAAAGCCGTTATGTTGGATATCTCTCTAATCGGATAACTTGATGTAACTTCTTGGGACATGCTACGGTTGACCGAACAATACCATCCACAAATCCACGGATAGAAAACATCGGCACATCCCAATTGAAACACCCCGATTCAAAAGCCGCGGTTGTTCTGCTGCATTCTGTAATTTTTCTGCTGTATAATTGCAAATTTAAAATAAAGTTTACTATGTCGTACAAGTTTTTGATTAATTGCTTAATTTAATTATTATAATTATTATTAGCATTATGTAATTGTGATGCAGCAATTGGCTTTCTGGGTCGATCGTTAGGAACGCTTTCATCTTGTTTGTAAGAGCGTCTGCGCGCTGCAAATTAACGAATGATGTGCGAATTGTAACAGTAATATGACTAATGTGCAGTGCAAATAATCTGGTTTAACAGCTTGGAAATGTTGAATTCGTGTTGAAGGCATTCCACCTAGACACAATCCATTACGGTTCATTAGAATCATGAATATACGTTCGGATAAGCAGACATAGACGGGGAAACGCGATTGGAATTAAGGAAGTGCCATTTTATCAACTGTTTTAATTTAGCTTCAGTTGGTCGAATAAGTTACAGTTAAACCATGTTAATGGTGTTGCGAACTTTTCGGAATATTCCATCAAAATAGAACGGAAAAGAATAGGTGCTCATGAAAGTTTAAATTAAGCTAATTAATTGTGTCGTCTTATGTGACTATTTCAGTTAAACTAAAAATTTGCTTTAACGTAAAACATCGGTTTTTGGATGTAATTAGTAGAGTAAACCCCCTACTGGTCAGTGAGTACTAATGCGGGGCTACTCTGCAGGCCTGCACGAGTAAATAGCACATGCCTGTTAACTATTAACTATTAACTATAAACAAATTATATTATATTAAATCCAAAAATATTAGGAATGCTTAACTACATTACAACAAAGTTAATTAATTAACCGATCTCTTCTTACCTCTCACTCCACTTCATACCTATATCAATATGTAAATGGATTTTGAGAGATGTGGATGATATTCCACGGTAAATTCATCGCTACAGTACATGATTAATCGAAAAAAGCCTCTCAATCTATTCAGTAGTCACCGAAAGCACGAATGATTTATAAAATAATTAAATATATAAACATACGCAACTTATTTATTTCGATATAATATTCTGCATGATACGTACGAGATATATCTTATTAGGCAAATATGACGACAGGGTGCTGATGAATTGTCATACTCTTAATACTTGATTCGCCTTGAATGCCTAGAAGTGTCGCTAAGGTCACAAATACACATACAATCATTTACGAACAACTCAAATTAGTAAACACCAGCTTACTATACAATTTGCAAACAAAACTCAATGTTAAATACGTACAATATACCCATGCATACACAAGCGCCTATGTATGTTTCTACGTTACAAGTGTGCAATTGCACTTGTTACATCAAATCAATGGAGAAGATTGCAAACAAAAGTAGAAATACGAACTCATGAAGTGCAGATTTCCAC